GTATTTATCAAGTGTGTATTCCTTGTACAAGGGATTATGTGAGAATATTGCCAGTGTTTTTTGTAACTGTTATTGGCCTTCAATCGTACAAAATAGAAGCTGATTCTGCTGTTGCATGACGTGTGTTCAAACTGGTGAAACAACTCAATATTACGTGATGTAGTTTTAAATTTTCCACAGTTGTCTGAAGAACATCTGCAGTCACTGGCATTGGATGTAAATCAGCTGAAGCACTTGGTATTATACACATGAGAACATCTATCTGAGGATTAGCTGTATGAACATCTATCTAAGGATTAGCTGTATGAACATCTATCTGAGGATTATTTGTATAATATGTGGGTTGGTAGTGAAGCAGGTGGTCTTATTTGTGCAAGGAACCAGTTTTTGCCATGTCATGTTTCAAAGTCGGATGCATTCTTTCTCGGTTCAGCATGGCATTCAGAATAGTTCACTTATATAAACTACCCCTGGTACTGTCTGGTCGCGCACACATATCGGCAATAATATAGTTTCTGGAATCCAAAGAACCTAGATTTCCTAGATCAGCTTCTGTATCTGAAGATATTCAATGATTGGATATATAACGTGAACAATTAAAGTACATGGATATTTTTGTAAATTTGAATATTTGTGGGATGTGGTGAATAGAATGTTCGTAGATAAAGAAATTCTAAGGTTAGGCACATTTCCCATCTTATAGACCTTGAACTTTTCCAGATAAATTTTATCAGTCCATGTAAAAAAAAAAAAGAAAGAAAGATTTCGAAACACTTAGTATCAGATCGTACAGTGCAGAACTTGAGCCTTAACCTGTTTGAATGTGATCAAAACTTTGACAGGTTTTAAGATTAAGGGCGCAAGCCTACTAAAATGAATAAACAACTTTATTAAATTTGCAATGCCACTATTCTTCACTACTTCATGCTTACAAATGTAACGATCAATGACCTGAAAATTTACGAACCAGCAACGTATCATCTCAAGACATTTTTCATGATACTTCAAAAGAATCTTTTCGTGGTCTTGTATCTGTCCCTTTAATTTTTATTTTCACTTTTGTCCATACTTCTATAGATGATCTATTAAAGAAAACTTAAACGATAAACTAATTGCTCAATTAAATTTGTCATCAAACAGTATAGCAACTACTTAAAAATGGGGTCCTTAAACCCGAAATGTTTCATATAATTGTAAAATTAATTATGAATTTTCTATTGTTAACATTATATTCTTATTAGTTGTGTTGGAAATACTGTAATGATATAAATATTAGTTATATCTTTTAATGCTACACAATTATTGTTAACATGAGATTAAATTGATATCATAGCATCATTTCTTTATGAAATTTGAATAAAATGTGTAATATTCAGAAACAAATATTCTATAGGTAGCCAAAAACTTTCGCAAAAAAACATATTCAGGAAGTGTTAAGTACAGAATAATTTAACATGAACAGCAAAGAAATACAAACATATAATTTACAAATAAAGAAGAAATCATTATTCATTTGACAATGTATATGTGTTTATTCACTTCACTTTTCGTTGCAACTTTGACTGGATTTTAAGGTGAACAGGAGGCTTTCCAACTATCTCAGCTAAGGACATCAATTATTTTTCTATTATACCACAATTTAAAGTCAGAAATGGTGTCCAAATACGGCATCCTATAATCCATAGATTACGTATGGCAACGACTATTTCTAATGACATAGAAAAAACCTTCAATTCATATCAACTTATAAAACCATCTATGTCAGTCCTATAGACAAGCTTGTCCTGCGCTAGAGAGTGGGCACAGAGACAGGGCCAAATTGATACAAGTTGTATGTAGCCTTTAACTAAACCAAAAGATTACGACCTTTCGACAGTCGGTTCATAAGAATGTTGTAAGTACAGTTAGAAATCAACAATAAATTTACCTTTAAGAAATTGAATATACTGCACTACAGATATGATTTAAACCAGTTGTACAAAGATGAAATGAACAGTCATATCAACTTTGACATATTAAAAAAATCATGATTATAAATATAAAACGTATTTCGGAATGAGACCGATATGTTTATACAGGTGTAACTCCAGAAATATTTATTAGGGTGGAGGGAGCTAAGCATGTGGGAAATAAAACCAAGACAAAATATATTGGTTTTGATATGCTCTGACAACCTAGATAATCTCATTTTCTCTCTTGTAGCAGTTGATATATCTGAAGTCATTATTATGACTCAGTTATAGTATCAGGTCATCAAGGAATTAATGTCGCTTTTTTAGATGTAAAAATCCGAACAACTTAAATATTAAACAAAACATTTATTAAATGAAAAGTCTCCATTCTTATCGATGATGCTTTTCCAACTTATAATCAGGTTGTTAATGCCCTGATTAAAGAAATCACTTAGCTTTGA